GCTATCTTGGCTATGCTGAATCACTTTCAAGCATCTACTTTCCAGCTTCCAATATTGTCTTTTCTCTTGTTCTCTATCCTTGTGGTTTTATGCTTTTTAAAAAAAATCTTGCTATTGTCTTTTTAGTAGGATTTGGAAGGAGTAGTGCTAAATGCTTGTATTTAATCTGGACTCTAACCAGAAATCTTTGCATGAATTTTTAAGTGATGTAGATGTGACTGTGAATAACCGTCTTAAGGCAGAAGGGGGGTCATTGAGAGTACTTCTTACCTGAGATTTCATTATATTTTCAGATGATGGTTTCTGGTACCGTGCAGTTGTTTTGGGGATATCAGACACGGATGTGAAAGTGCTCTATGCAGACTATGGGAACATTGAAACCCTGCCACTTTCCAGAGTACAGCCAATCACCGCCAGCCACCTGGAGCTTCCTTTCCAAATTGTTAAATGTTCACTTGAAGGTACACAATTAAGTCACTTTCCAATTTGGGTGTCTGTAGGATTTTTTTTTCTCTTTACATTTCATAGCTCAAAGTCTAAATCAAATGGGTATTTTAAGTGCCCAGATTTTTAAATATCAAGCAGAGTTTTCAAAGGAATTTTTTATCCTTTATTCTTTAATTCTCACAAAAACTATATTCAGTTAGTCTGTCTTTGTTTTACAGATTAGTTTCAGAGCTTCAAGATTCAGAGATTCTGTTTTGCCCCCATGGCAAAGCCAGTAAGCATCAAGGCCAGGATATGGACTTGAGGCTGTCTGACCTCTCATCTGGGGGTCTTTCTGCTTTGTCACAGCTCTCTTTAGGGACTAGAGGCATTCAAATGACACCAGTTTTGGCTACCATACTGTGCATGCTAAATCTGCATATATTCAGCTCTTCAGTTGGAATTTGAATAAAGTGTACTAAAATGCTGAAAGGAGCTTTTACTGTTACTCCTGGCTTCTTTACTTAAGGCCCTAGCAGATAATATTGTGCTGTTTGCCTCTTAGTCTGCTCTGGTTTTGACTAAGAGTGAGTTGTAAAATTACCTTTATTAGTGTTTGCTTCTCCCATTAGAATATAGGAGGGGAGACATTGTGTCTGTTTTGTGCCCTCTGGACCTAGGTTAGTGCTTGAAACCTTACAAGTGGTCAGTAAATTTATATTGAATAGTTTTTTTAATGCAACAGCAGTAGTACATCAAAGCATACCTAGACCCAGCTAAAACCTTTTGCTTATTATCTTCAGATAATTTATCAAAATACTATCTTTTTAAAAGGGACTTAAAGATTAACTATATTATTCATTTTTTCCAGCACTAATAGAACTGAATGGAAGCTATTCTCAATTAACAATAACGCTACTAAAAAATTTCATGTTGAATCAGAATGTGATGCTTTCTGTGAAAGGAATTATTAAAAATGTCCATACGGTGTCGGTTGAGAAATGTTCTGAGAGTGGCACCATCAGCATAGCTGATGAGCTGGTGACGTATGGTCTGGCGAAAAACAACACATCTAAAAAGCAAAGTGCTTTAAATAAAGGTATTTTTTTCCAAGTATAATTAGATAATCGATTTAGTTGACCTGACCTCTTCACAGTCTCTGTGGCCACATTCCCTTCCTTCTCCACCGCTGCAAATACAGTGGTAGGGCTCTGGTTCCTGTGCCTGCATCAGAGATGCCACCTTGATGGAAACTGTCCTCTTGGTCCAGATATTGCTCAGGTCAGGCTCAGCAAGATTGTTGTGAGAATTGACAGTAAGAGCTTTAGAAATGTCAAGCACTCTGCGTGCGCGTTACTTCCAGTTAGTTTACTTTCGATCCTCATCAAACTAAGTAGAAATCCTGTATTTGAGGTTGGATCTTCTTGATATTTCATAAGATATCTATTTGGCAGACCTCCCTTCCACCAAATAGAGAGAAATCCCATATATGATTGACAAAGGTTCTAAGTCTTGGAGATGTGGGTGTTAATTGAGTAAAATACACTTCACAGTAGTAGATAACATCAAAGCCCGAATGGATCGATCAGTTTCTTTGTATTTGGAACCTATTACGAGGGGCAGATCCGTATATGTTCAGACTCCAAGTTTTGTTATTTACATTATATGTTATCTAATGGCTTTTTTCCTTTTTCTTTTTCTTTTTTTTTTTTGTATTTGCTTTTAGAAAAGATGTGTAGGATGAATTGCTGCTGCACAGAATTACAGAAACAAGTGGGTAAAATTTCTTTTAAGTGAAATTATACTCCTAAAATTTTTAGAAATTAAATTGTACTATTTCTTTTTTACCCATAGGTTGAAAAACATGAACAGATTCTTCTCTTCCTCTTAAGCAATCCAACCAATCAAAATAAATTTATTAAAATGAAGAAACTGTTACAAAGTTAAGTAAGTTCAACTTGACTTTTGTTCCTCTTCTGTTATCACCAGTAGGCCGTCTCCAGTCCGCACTGTCGGAATGGATCTCCTGGAGGAGGCCGTGCTTTGTTTTGTGATCTGATGAAGTGACATTTGGTTGTCGTGTGTTTGCTATTTTCCCAGGTTTGAGCTGATCACTGTTTTTTGACCTTCCTAGAGAACTGGGCCTGGGGCTGTCCAGGCTGCAGCGCCCTTTCCTTGTTGTTTGATTTTGAGAATGCCAATGTTATTGATATGTGGAGGGACTTGTAGAAATTGTCATGAGGTAAAGCTTGAATCTTAAATTCTTTGTGTGTGGATTTGAAATGAATTCAAATCTCACTTGCACACATCACTTTAAATACGTTTAGCACTTTTTGTGAAGAGGATGGAAGGTGGGCTGGACTGACAGCATGTTTCATTTTAAAACCAAACATACTCCCTTCTTTTGGCTGCAAGGATTCTGATGTTTAAAGAACATATTTTTTTATGTTCTCTTTTTTTTTTTTTTTACCATCTCAGATCCTTTGTCCTAAGATGGCCTTCAGAAATTATGATTAGTCACCAATTAGAACTTCTGATCAAAGTGAAATTGTCCTCTGTACTACTTTGAGTTGATATCGTTCCAGCCCAAGAGCAAAGGAACCTTGATTTACTGTGTGCTTGTGTTGGCTAACATACAGTTTATATTATTACGCTGTTTGGAAATAGCCCAACAGGCTGCATGTTGCTCTTTGTGGATCTCTTATGGACATGGTAACTCTCAAGTAGGAACCAACTGTGTTAAAACATATTTTCCGTGTGGTGTAATGTACTGTTTCTTGTTTGTTTTTGAAAAAGTATAACAGTTCTAAGCTAAATGTCATTAATGCAAGTTCAACAGTTTTGATTCTCGTGATTTATTTCCTTTACAAATTTTGGCTTATTTGTAATAAATACAATTGCAATTACAACTTTCAGTCCTTTCTAGTACATTAAATCTTAATGCTGCTCTTTTGTGTGCTTGAGTTTAAAATCTTAAATTTAATAAGATAATTTTAATTTTATTAGATTAAGTAACACACAATGACATGGACTTCTGGAATTTAGTCCGAGCACCAATGCATCATATTCTTAATCAAGTTGGTTAAGTTGTATGGGCTTTTACCTTTTTATCTCTGTAATAGGTTTTTGGGTTTTTTTTCATGAGGATATTGAGTGCTTACACACACAATTTGAGATAAAACTTATTTTTGTTCCTTAGTAGCTTTAAAAAAAAATTTTTTTTTGAAACATAGTATTTGAACTGGCTTTTCCCCTCTGTAGAAATACATACATATTTGTGTCCATATTTGAATATGGTATATATAGTACCTTATATTTAGGTAGTACCTTATTTACAAAGCACTGGTTGCATACTTACTTTTCCCAATATCCTCAAAAGGAAAGTAGACTCCAGTTTACGGCTGAAGAAGCTAAGGCTCGTTGAGGTTACATGACTGCCCGACATCTCAGACACAGACTTGAAATGAGGTGTCATGACTGGCAGCTGAGCTCCCTGTACTGCCCGTTTGCGGCTGCCTCTGTGCTGTGCTGCCTCATCTTTTTAGATGGGATCAGTTCTATAGAACATAAAACCTAGGGGGTTACAGCATTAGAGAAAAACGTTATACATGGTTGCTTAAGCATGTGTTCTTCGTTGTGGTGAACATGAAGTTGAATATTTACTCTCTCCTTTAAATTATTCTTCCTAGAGATAGAGAAAATGTATTTAAAAATATATTTCATCATCTGTAGAGAAATTTAATTTTTTCCCCCTTTTTAATTTTATTTTTTTAATTTTTATTGACTCAAAATTGATTATACATATTTTTGGGGTTCAACATTGAGATATGTTATCAAATCAATATTACTAGCATATATATTGTTACAGATCGTAATTATTATTTATGCCCCTTGTCCAATCTCTCCCCCTCCCCCTCCCCCCTCCCTCCTCTAATTGCCCTAGATTTCTTCTCTCCTTCTGAAAGAATAATGGTTACCCTGTTGATTTGTTGCCTAGA